ATTTTGTTAACTCTGCAATGACATGGTGTAAGCTACCTATGACAACTAGGGCATAAACGAAGTTTTTCCACATCCTCCTAAAGAAAGACCTGGAAATATGACCCATGTCATAGTAGAAAAGTTTTTCACAGCAGAGTGGCATGATATTATATGGGAGGCATGGCTGACCAAGATGAAAACCCTGAATGCTTAAAATAATTAAAATGTATTCCTCCTGAGGGTAAAAGCTGCAGCAGTAACAAAAGACTCAAGGCACTTAATGAAACTAAAATAACATTCTTATTTGCTACTTTAGAGAAAGACACTGGGATGATACAGGACTTTTGGTATAACCTTCTGGATCTATGATGGCAGATGCAGTGGTATTTCTGCAGGTAGTTGTGGTGATTTGAAGAGGAATTGTTATCATATCTTAATTGAGTATTTAGTCACCAGGCACTGGGACTATTTGAAAGGATTAGGACCATTAGGAGGTGTGGCCTTGTTGGGGTATGTGTTGTCTTTTTGGAGGAAGTATGTCCACTTGGGGTGGGCTTTGAAGTTTCAAAAAGACCATACCAAGCCCAGGTTCTCTCTCTCTCTCTCTCTCTCTCTCTCTCTCTCTCTCTCTCTCTCTAGCTCTCAGCTACTACTTTTTCATCACCTTTCTGCCTGCTGCTCTATCTTACCTGACATTTTGATACTGGGCTAGGCTTCTGAAACTGTAATCAAATCCTCAATTAAATGCTTTATTTTTAGAAGGGTTGCTTTGGTCATGGTATCTGTTCAGAAGATTGGAACACTGGCTGAGATAGTAATACAACACTCATAATTTCAAAAAAAATATTTGATAGAAGTTCTTTAAGGTGATTCACATTTCTATAATCTCTTCAGTAGCTGGAGCGTTAAACACCTCTATAAGAGAGTATATGTCCAGTGTTTATGGACAGCATTAGAGAGATTGTGCATACCAACACAATAGAAGGCATCACATGAAGGGAATTAATTGATGGGATTAGAGCAAGAAGCAGTTAGTAAAATTTCTAAAGAGAGACTGAGAAGACACTGTGTTTGGGGACTTATTAAAGACCTTAATTAGAGAAATTCTTTGCTATTTTAAAAGTCATACATGCATGATAAGATTTCATATGAAATCTTTCTTGTCTTATGTTTTATAGTCTTACCATCATTTTTTTGTCCTTGCACTAAATTGTGCAACTACAGTTCTACAGTGAGGGATTTTTTTCTGGTAATTTTCAGCATGTACCTTTAACCATTTGTAGGAATGGTTATACTTACTCATACTCGAGGTATAAAAATAACAAAGAGAAAATATAATAAGTTTCAGAAAAGATAAATACTGCTTAAGTTGATTTTGTGATTGGGTAAGAATATATACAATGCATATTTAGAAAAAATACATATTTCTAAAAAGTTCATATTGAAGATATATTTTGATATATAATGTACAAGGTCTAAATATGTTGTAAACAATGTTATTTCAAGATGTAAAAGTTAAAATTGTACATTCCACTTTTCCTGTCAAATGTACTTTGCTTTTTAAGTTTTCATTGTCAGCGTAGGGTACACTATTTAGAAAAAGTCATAAATTTTGTATCATTCAGTGTTAGTGCCTGTTCTGAAGAAACTTCTAGGTTTCATGTTTTTGAGCTAAAATTGCTTTTAAAAATATAATAAACTTATTTTAAGCATAACATTTTTTAATTTTGGTAAATATGCTGAATTTAATATCTGCTAGCAGTGTTGGTCAGAACTGAAAAGAAATTATTGAGAATTTTTTGCATTAGAGACAAATATCAGAATAAAAACATTTTGCTGTTTAAACATCTTATACAAACCAATACAAAGTGAGCAAATGTAAAAATTATTCATAGGGGCATCTCACTTAACAAACATCAGTCCTTAGCATTTTCTGTTGTTTTCTTTTTATGCAAACAAATGAAGTGTCCAGCACAGACACAGTGCCTCATTATGCCCTTGCACATTCTGATGATCTCTTTTCTGAATTAATTTTTATTGCTTTATTTTATGATTCAAAAGTTCAAAAATACTCCCTAATTTTAACTAAAATTTAGTAGTTTCATATTATGTGTTTGCTTTTCTTCTTATTATTAAGATGATAATAATATCACTGTTTTAAAATTTAAGAAACTTGCACCATCAACTCTACCAATCACTCTTAACAATGAAATACAAAAGTTAACTAAAGTATAAACATGCAAAAGGAGAAGTCTCCCTGCGACTATAAAATGATGTTGTTTTCTGTTCAGCAGTTCATGTTACTGCTGTTCATGCCAATTAATTACAGGAACTGTTGCAGTAATGTGCAAATAGGGAATCTGAGCAACTGAGAGGGCTTTTAGGTCTCCAAGTGAAGTTAAGTCAATCTGGGCATGGGCAATCAAATGTAATGAAATCACTTGTCAGTGCTAAGCTTGCAAAAACTGTGAAGTTTGACTGGGGAGTAAAAGGATTATAATTAGATTTCCAATAGGATAATAACTAAATGGCAGAATGCAGTAAAGAGAAAATATTACTTTGTTAGCTAATGGTACTGCTGTTCAGTTTTAGTTTTTATCAGCTCACTTGTAGTTGTGCTAATTTAATTTGCCTTTATCAGCAAAAATCTACCACACAAATGCCACTTAAAGGTCATTTGCAAAAATTATTGACCTGAAGGTACACTTAATGACACCTGGTATGTTTATTTTATGTGAAGTAGAGATTGACAGATAAGATGGCTGATATGCAGTCTTACAGGTCCCCAGCTGAGTTAGAAGATCTTGAATTGGACCATATTTGGTCATATGCTCTTTTCAAAAATTCTTCTCCTGAGACTTTGGACATAATCATCAGAGTGAGTACTTTACACATTGTTGACCACCTTGAAACCTTTATACCTTTAGGTGAAGGTATAATCATAGACTGCAGAAATACAAAATTCTAAATTCTGTTAACTGAGATTGTCTACATGTGCTATCCTTTTTTTCAAACAACATTCAAAGTGTTTTAAAAATAAAAATAAGCTGATGAGACTTATAAAAGGAATAATTATCATGAGTAGTTTGTCTTCATTCAAATTTATGTGGACAGTATGGTAAAACTAGATATGGTTTCTTTTGCTTCTAACAATAGTCATAAAATGTTTTATCAAGTTCCCTTTATATCTTCTTAAGAAGAAGTCATGGTGCAACTAATTGAATTTCAAAGAGAGAGCACTAGGTTAATGATAGATTTCTAACCAGCAGAGCTATCAACAATAGGAAGAGAAAGAACATCAACAAAGCCTGAGCTGTTTGTTTCCTGTGATGAAGCTATGTTTTGGCAATGGCATTGCATTGACATGAATGAATTGATTCTCACAAAGAGAGGAAGTGATCTTCCAACCTACAAAAGTGAGTAAGGCAGGAAGGTGAAAAAGATGTAAACGGTTCAAGGCAAATAAAAGACAAACTATAGCATACAAAAAACAAAACTATTAGCAAGAATAGACTATAATGGCTAAGTTTACACTTTATGTTTTTTGTGTAAAATATATGATGTATATTCAGAAAAAGTATATATTTACAAAAAGTTTATATTGAACATATATTTAGATATTATATAATATACAAGTACTTAATATGCTGTAAATACTGTAAACAAGTATTAAGGAGTTTCTAAAGATTATTAATGAAGATAAAATTAATCTTTCAACTGTGAATACTTAAAATGATAGGCTAAATGATTAAGGATCTTATGTAATTATTAGAGCTTACTTTGCAAACTATATTTCTGATTGATTCTGATCATAATTTCCGATACCTCTTCCTCTAACAAAATATTTTTTCTAACAAAAATATTTTGGATCTGGAGATAAGATCTATCTATATAGTGCTAGCTGCCCTGGGACTCACAATGGAGAGCAGCCTGGCCTGAAAGTCATAGATATTCACCTGCCTCTAATTCATGCATGCTAGAATTAAAGGTGTGTTCCACCACACATGATCTAAAATTCTCTTTTTGATATGTTGAGATTCTACTATAATTTTAACAAAAGATATTCACTTTAGTTTTTCATAAAGTATTAATGGAAATTCTATCATGTATAGTGCTTAAATGTAGGACTAAAAGATAGGAGAATGGATACTTTTTAAGGTTTTCCCATATTTATTGTGAATGACATTTGATGTAGTTTAAAAGTTTATATTATATCTTATGAGGAATTATTAAATTACCATATTTTCTTATATATGTACAATGTTGATCACAGATACTAAGCAGTTTTAGCTTTTTATTTTGGAAATGGTCAGTTTTCTTGTTTGAAAATAAACTACCAAAATACTTACAATATTGCATCTGATTATGCTATTTTTAATGAACTTAATAAAAATATGTTTGGAAAAAAGCCAATATAAAATGTATGCATCTTTAGACATAAATTAATATGCAAAAGCTATTTAATGAATATGGAATGAATTCATTTTTACTTATGTGACTATGTTGATCACACTTGAATAAAGTAACTGTTGTTTGTTATGTGAAAATAAAATAAATTGATGACAACTCAAAATCTACATATCTCAGAGTAGGGAAAATGTTATTTCTGTTATCTAAAGGCATCATAAAAATAAAGAAACTATAATAAACAGGTTCACTTGTAGTGTTTACAAACACAAAAGCAGTGAAATATATAAGCCACATTTACATTATGCTTATGAAATATTTCTTTTAGAATGTGGATGACATGTAAATATGAATCCTGTCAGTAGTAAACCTGGAAGAACTTCGCTCACATTATATCTATGAAATTCCAAAGTAATTGCACTGTTAGGAGTTTTAAAGTTATATCATATGTTTTTCTCAAATGAAGATCATTGTAGATTGCTAATTAGGTCAGAGTATAAAGGGTTATCTTTATTTTATCTGAATGAACTCTATCAACATAGAAATTTTTGACACCCTGCTTAAATGAAGCACACATTGAACACTTATAGGAAGGACAATGTTATTTATTGTACCTTGCATGGCAGCACTGTCATGAGGAGTCCCATTGTTTTCTATTTCAATATCTGGAATTCCCGTATCTGGAAGAATTGGCATTCAGGATTAAAGTATTAATTAAACAATTCTTTGTTTTCTGTCTAAAAAGAAATTGCAGCAAGACAATATTTTGATATTATACATAACTATACATAACACAAGATTCTAAGAAGTATTATATAGTTCTACAAACATTGTCTCTCTTATTTTTTGTTTTTACACACACACAGAGTAATATGTATTATTATACATATTATATATATAATAATATATATGTATTATTATAGTAATGTGATATGTAATATCACATTCTGTCCTCCCTGCATACCCTCTCTTTGTCTCCTTCAAATTCAGTCTCTTTTTTCATTAATTATGTTGTTGTTGTGTGTGAGTATATACATAGTTTTTGCTTTGTTTAGCTTTCCCCTTCCATTTCCTTTCTTTCTTTTGGTATTACTATTGCTAATGCTAGGAAGGAAGTTTACATACTATAACTGAATTATGTAGTTAAGAATGTATTTCCAAGTACTTGGAAAGTATTTTTTTCATCAGTTGACAATCTAAAGGTGTATTCTAGGAAAATAAATGTCTATATAAAAGGAGAAGCAAACCCTCTAAAACTATTCAGTTCAGTTAGCATACTCTGATGACAGGACAACAAAAATTATGATAGATACAATTGACTAAATCAAAGAAATCCATCATTGTGGTATTTTTCCCCTATGTAAGCTATGATAGTGAATGATACTGGCTTATGTTTAGTGCAAGTGAAACCAATATTCACATGGTGATTTGTGGTTTTATATGAGTGGATGAATAAATGTGTTATGATTGTGCTCAAATAATTTATAGAATCTAGTGATTATATTGTAAAACGTTTATGTGGAAGGGGTTACTTGAAAATTTAATTCACTTTGTGTCTGAAATAACTAAAGAAATCTTATGTGATTAACAAGAATCTTAACTTAAAATAAAACTAGAAAATTTTGAATTACCATCCCATGATTCATGCACCACTTTACATCCCTTCATGTAGAACCTTCAAGGACTCATTTAGAATTTCATTTCAAACTGATTCTCCCTGAGGACCCCATTATCGATACATTTTTGCATTAAATATCCACCTACATTTTTTCTTCTACCTCCCAGAGAAAGGGTTATTTTGGTTTGTTTCATGACTTATAACATGTGACCTAAACTTATATTTCTTGACAAAGCCACTGTCTTCATCTCTCTCTTTGCTCAGGTTTTCATTTGCGTGCCTACAAGTGAAAATCAGGCATTACCTTTTAACATCCTCAGACCACTGTCACTAGCTGTAGCTTGTTTCAGTGCCTGCTCCACTTGCTCTCGGCGCTTTGATTCAAACTCCAAGGCTTCCTGAAGTTTCCTTTTAGCTTTTTTCTCCTTTTTCAGACGTTTTTGCATTGTATCTAAAATGTGGAAAAGTAGTTTACAAATGCGTGCTTAATGCAGTAATATTGTTGAGTTTAATAATACAAGTATACATTGTATATAGATACAAGTTTAAAATCAGAGAGCCATAAATATAGCAGCCAACATATTATTAGCTCCTTTTGGTTCCAGTTGTCACTCATCTGGTGTTTTGTTGACTGTAGTTGAATAACACCACCAACTTTTTGTTATTTTTCACATTTCTAATATGTGTGCTCTCTCGTATACATCCATCTACACAGTGCTGGCAATTTCCCTGGAGAATTATTGTTTAATGCCATACTACATCATTTAATACTATAATACATTTTATAATTCTCTGAAGAAATAAAATACTATTGTTAATCATATTTCAAAATTCAAAAAGTAAATATTTATGAAGTATTGTTTTATTCTTTAAAACTGAAATGTTACCAATTAAAGAGACAAACAAATGAATATTCATTTAAATAATGATGCTTCTATCCCTTGTTCCTTTCCTTCCTACACACAGACTCACAAAATCATATACATCTTAGTGAGAATAACTTTCAGGAGTGACTATATGAGCAAGCTATAAAACTGCATGTGAAGCCTCTGGTAAGCAAGAAAGATAAAAAAGAGTGAACTAACAGTTCCAGCTTAGTCCTCAGGCTCTCTGTCTCAAAGAGAAACTTTATTACCATAATGTAAACATTAATTCTGATCTCTGAAAATTTACTATGATAGATCCTCAAACTGGATAATTAGTTTCCAAGAAAGTGTTGGTTCATAATGAGATGCTAAGCAAATCAACCATCTTCCTATGCCATTTTAAAAGTACATTATAAAAGTAATGAATTATACAACATTTAAAATGCTAAAAGAGTTTATATGTATACTATATTTTCAACTGAACCAAATGTTGGAATAAGTCAGGATTTAGTTTTACTAATTTTACACATTAATGTGTTTTCAATAATTTGAAGAGAGTCAATTACTCAAATAATTTCTTATACACTTGAATTAAAAATTCAACAATCTAACATGAAAAGCAGAATTTTTGAGACAAAGACAGAAAACATTGTATCTTTTGGATTTTATTAAAGAGAGCTAAGTATGCTTGAATATGAAATTATTTTGCTATTCTAATTGTATTCACATGATTATTAAAATGCAGCATTAACAAATTATTTCAATCAGAAAAAGTAGTCTATTGAAATCACTGCTGAACTTATATTATAATTAAAATAATTTTTCAGAAGATCCCATGTTTTGTTTCAGTGTAAAATTATTATTTCTTATATGGTGAGTAATAGTATATAGTTTTTTGTGTTCTCAAGAGGCTACACTTTAAACTACATAAATGAAAATGATTTATTTAAACCTACTACGTAAGCAATATTTTGTAATGATCAATCTACCAATATCAGTGAAAAGATAACACCTCTGCTGAGAAAATACTACAATCTCCACTGTATAGAAGGAAACTATTTTTGAGACATGAAGGAATTTGTACTGAAATTTAAACCTACTAGCTGTTTTAAAAAGTAGAACCACCATTTCAAAAAATGACTTCTCATGTCTGGTAGTACATTTTTTGTTGTTGCTGTTGTTAAATGGTCTTTGGCCCTTGCAGAGAACACATAAACCTAGATAAGGAAAATTCATCCCTATTTTTATACATGGAATTATGAGTATTATAGACTTTCTTGGTAAATAATTGAAATGTGAAATGTCTACATGATGGAGTCTTTCTCCCACTTGTGCCTCCATTTCCACAGTTCAACTGTACCACTCACTTTAGTGTTCTCAGGGAATGGAAAGAACTGAAATTGATGTTATATATTTTGCTGCTCTTTTGTGTTTTATGGTAAATGTAAAGATTTGGGAATTATTTATAAAAGTTAATTTGAAAGTTTGTGTGGCATTTAAATAAACTACTCTAGTTTATGCACTTCATTGAATACAATTTATATCTATAAAATTATTTCTATGTTGAATAATTAAATATTCCTCTAATTTCTTATTTTTGTCTCCATATACTTCTGCTATGTTAGTTTAATCCTTATTAATACTGTTTATATGAGATAAAGCTATCTATTTGGAATATTTTCCTTGCTCTCAGTCTCACATAAATCCTAATCAGAGGATCAGAGAGTTTTCTGTGAGATTGCGTCTCCTAGTAATATCAAAAGCTACACCCTTAACATCTCATCAACAGACTGCCCAAAAGTGAGCTGAACAAGGACATTGTGCGTGCCAAAGTGAATGAGGAAAAACTCAGGAAGCTTCAAATAAATATGTAACTAAAGAAACTTGGAAGTCTGAGAGGAAGTCTTCCCCACGGAAGAGCACATAAATTGATTGCTCAGTGCCAACGAGTAACATGCACAGAGAACAGGGTATATTTAGGAATATATATGTGTACACCTATACTTATATGTACACAATAACAATTAGGGAAAAATAAAGCCATGAATTAGAATGAAAGTGTGGAGGGTTGGTTATAGGGGAGGCTTTAGAAAAATGTTGTAATTATATTAAATTCTCAATAATAAAATTGAAAAAGAATTGCCCCATCTTTAGAGTGAACTATACAATAGAAATTAAACCAGATTTTTCCCTTGCTTAACTTTTGATACTTTCCATTGTTTTCAAGGTAAAATTCAAGTTCATCATTTACACAGTTAAAACTCTTCTTCATAATTTCACTGGTACTCCTATCTCTCTGCATCATCTCTCACCATGCAATTCATTAGAATCAACGGCACTCAAAAAATCAAAGTGTATACTTTCGCTTGTGTATCAAGTTTGTTCTTTTTTTCCATACCTATACTAATGAATACACAATGCTTCAAACTGAATGCTTGCATGCCATTTTTATTTTTGAGTACTGATTCTTTAAGGCTCAGATTAAGGCTTCAACTTCAAAAGATATTCTTTTAACACTATACAATTTCAACAAGCTAAATTAATCTCTTTGATACCAAACAGATTTTGCATGATCACTCCTGTCACTTTGTTTTAGAATTGTATGGCTGTGTTAGGCTTATACAATGTAAATTCTTCCAAGAGAGAGACTGAGTTTCATTTATTTTATAATTACAGAATATAGCACCCTGACCATGGAAGAGTAAATATTTTGTACATAAGACCAGGTGATAATATCTATGTCTAGATACAATTTATCAGATTATGAGAACATCATAGCAATGTATGTTTTCAAATCTGTATCTAGTCTCAAATACAAATGTCGTTTATTATCTCTTATAGAAAAACTTATTACTATGTGACTTAGTTATCACTGTTAAGTTTGTTACTCATTTTTAGCAATTATAAGCTATCCTTCAATATGTTTTTATAAAGAAAATTATTTTCAATACAAGAGTCACCATTTAATTGAACTTGTTCGACTTACTTCTGCTTTGAAGCTCAACTGCAAGTTGCCTCTCCAGGTTTTCTCTAATTTCTCTTTCTCTGTAAAGTTCTATTCGAAGTTCCTTCTTTTCTTGTTGAATCTGCTTCTCCTGGATGCGAGCATTATCCAAAGCCACTTTCAGTAGACCCTGTCAAAGTACAGAAAATGGCATGCAGTTCATCTTATCTGTTTTAAAATCTCAAATAGGAAATAATTTCTGTAGGTGCTAATGTCTTGTATTACATTTATTTTGTTTATAGAAATATTGTTGACCTGAATGTTGGTCAACAGTGTCTCCACAGAGGACAGACTATCAGCAAAAATGAATGGTCCAGGGAATCCAGGGGGCAATGCCTGTCCAGGAGCCAACTGGATCTTGTCCAAGGGTGATTTCATCAGTGGAATTTGAGCTGGTACTTCTT